TTTAAAGGTAGTTCCTTCCTGTCCTTTCACATCCCCTCAACACTGTATCAAAATCAGGTTTCTGTCTAGTAGTTACTTCTTTTTTATATTCCTCTGTGTGTGTTTTTATGTACTTTGTGTGGTTGATTCAGGTTTACAGGAATGTTGTTTGGGATGGTTGGCAAGAACCTCTCTTTCTTTTTGTATGAATGTATGTCTCCTGTATGTCACTCATGATTTTATACACTACACACATGGGGAATGGCATAAATGAGGATGAACAGGAAAATACAGAACACAAATCATAACTGGCAAGAACAAGACTAAACATAAAACCAAAACCCTAACAAGATTGGATTGGATTATAACGAAAAAGAAGATGCTTGACCACTAAAAATAGCTTTTTTTTATGGGAGTGAAATGAAGAGACACACGATTCAGGTTGATAACAAATTTAATAACAAACTGGATAAAGCCACCAAGTTCCTAAAAACTCCAGCTCAACAAATGTATTATTATCATTAAAACATATTTCATACTTCTGCCCCCCACAGTTATTGTGACAACGGTGAGGTCGAAACATTTGGCCATTCAGATAAGCAGGACTGCGAGACGCTTTAAGCGAACACTGCAGCCTGTCAGGGGCCACAAAAGAGAAGCCAAAACACACAGAGAAAAATAAAATCATAGAGGCAATGGCCAAATTTCTGGCCCAAAAAACTGTGAAGAAGCACGATGTATGTCTAACCGGTGAAGGTGAGGAGCTAACAGTTAGGCAGACTAGCAAAGCTTTAGCTTGCTAAAACCTTTCAATAATATAACACCAGAGCTGCCAACTCAGGCATCAAGCATGAGACTCATGCAACTGATCATTTTCTGACGCAGTGATAAACAAATGTATAACTGATAATATCAACTCGGGGTGAGTAACTCCGCCCAGCTGTTACGACACCGGCACTCACCGCTGTGAGTTAAGCATCTAAAATCTGAGGCGCAGCCTTGTTCTGTTTGTGACTGCGAGCTGCACTTCATCAGAGGTGCTGAAGTGAACATTTGTATGGATTTGTGGTGAGATTTCTGCCTGATCAGAAGTGTTTTCAGTAAGTTTCATTTATCCGACTCCTCCTCTCATCCAGTAGTACAGTCCCAAACGGTTCTGTGTCTGCAGACGGCCTCAACAGGCTAAATCAGCAGAGCAACAACGCTGGCTAATGCACAGCAGGGAAGTAGGGAAGGTAGACTGTTCTCATTAAATTATGATGTTATTCTTGAAATATTCTGACTCTTCTCTGGACATGTCAGAGAACACAGATAGGTTGGAGAGATTCTGATTGTGCAGAAAGTTTTAAACATGAGCAGAACATCTGCTGAAACACAGGAGCTATTAAAGTCCAGGAGTTTATCACTGAATTAAAATTACTAATTTTTCATTGAGGTAAGAAAAGGTGCCACAGTCTTTTTAAACTTGATTTATACTCCTGCGTCAGGGCTACATGCCCTGATGTATAAAAGCATTTATACTATAAAGGCATTTATACTTGTGCGTCTCCGTCGTTCTGCAATTACACCGCTTTTCCCGGCCGAGCAAGCTAACTTCCGGCTTAGCCCTCCGCTAACGTGACTGGGGGTAAAATTGTATACCTACGGCTTTTATAGACTTTTTAAAAGTTATTGCCCGAATCGATCACATGCTGATAGTGAAACGAATAACTTTGCTCAGGTTGTGACGCTCAAATATATTAATCCACCGCGTTACAGCTGCCGATGTGGCCGCTAGTAAAATTTACTTCAAAGCACGGGGAACTTCCTGTCGGCTCGGAGGCATTGCGAGGCTACCCAGCCGACCAGTCACAGTGCTTATGGTCCATTTCGCCTCGACGTGTAGTTACATTTTTGAGGAGGTGCAAGTCAATGCAAGGTGCATCTATTATGTTTTGCATCATCACCTACCATCTGAATTTAGTTTTCCCCCTCTTTTATTAATAAAGATCACTAATACCCACAAGTTCCCCTGTGGCAATCTCAAGAAAATTAAACACTCGTCAACAGCGCATCACAAGTCATAGGATACAGCTGCAAATATGGTTACAATACAATAAGCTATACACAACAAAGCCTTGTTTATATTATTACTATCATCATTTCAGCTGACACCGCTGAAAATTCTTCACATAATTTGACCAATACTTTGATTAATGTAGTCCTTAAGATTGAATATGATAGATGAAGTATGTTTATTTGTTCACTACTTATGATATGATACTATATATGGATATTATGATTTAATGCTTTGCAGTCATTTCTTCAATGTTTGTTTTTTCTTTTCTCTAATGAGCTAATCATTCAAGGGCATTTTTTCTCTCCTTGTCTTGTTTTAAGTTAAAAGGAGGAACAAAACTGTCACAGTCTAATGTGAAAGATTTTGACTTTTGTGCTTTATTATCATACTGAGTAATTGAGTATACAGTAGATGCGAGCGTGGCCTGGATGAGTCTATAACACTGTATTTGGAAATGGTTGTTAGGAACTCCATCTGTGATACTATAAGGCTAATGGCCAAGAGCTTCTCTGAAATTACCTGTGTTTGTATTGGAACTAAGGGTGGGTGTCGATAAGGGGCCCAGTTTGCACAATGTTGTCCCCCTGTCCATAATTAATAATGGCGGGCTGCCTGTGCCCCATCAAGTTCTTGTCTAAGAGGAAGAGGGGGGCGTGGTCCCTGGCGTTATGGGTTCACTATTTCCCAGCACAGTCTTTCCCAGAGTGGTGAACCCCTCCCCATCTTTGCCTTAGAAAGACTCTGCCATGCTCTTTTTAAACCCAATCATGTTGCTAACCTGTTGCCAGTTCACCTAATTAATTGTGAGATGATCCTGCGGGTACTTTATTTGAGCATTTCACAACTATTTCTTTTTCTTTTGTTGCCACTGTCCAAAATTTTTGGGTTGCTGCCCAATATCACTTACCTGTTTTCAATGATACCCAGCCAACCCTCTGCTGTCTGGTTTAAGTCACTGGACTCAAAGATCTGTAAATTTTCAAAGCAAAAGAAAAGCAAAACTCCCACATTTTCTTCATTGCTTCCTGTCCAATAGACTACAATATATCTTAAAATGGATCAATCAGAGCCCCTTGGACCACTGATGGATGGACATATAACAAATATTCTGTAAGGAAAATGTCAAACTCATTTTCACCACGGGCAACGTAAGCATTTTTCGAGTTAAGGACATTTAACCCATCAGATGCAAAAACATAAGCAAGCACATTTACTGTATCTGTGTTATTATAACATACATTAATTAATTTATCAGGTTTAGAAAAAGATAATACTTCATCAACAAAAAACTATTACATGGGGCAGAACCATTGTAAAACAAATAATTGTGAGCTGCTAATAACATGTGTGACAGATTTGGCATTTGATAAAAACAAACGGCTGCACACAGCCTTGCAGAGGCCATACATCCAACTAATGACAGATAGTTTTATTACCTGGAAAAATGCCGACGTATATTGTAGCCGACTCCTTCATCACAGACACTGGCTCAAAACCAGTGCTTGAAGTGGACAAAATGAGGTGCCAGAGTAAATGATGGAGACATTCTGATCCTGACCTGTCCCCAGAGTCCCCAGTGTAAATGACACCTATCTGTCAATATTTTTAAATGTCCCGCCCCATCCAGGCTGTGATTGGTTGGTTCACGACAAGTGACATTGAAGAGCTACATTCTGCACAAGGCTGCTTGAAAGGCGCCTGAGCTTCTCTTCTCCCTCCTCTCTCTGCGCCGACAGAGTTTAGCAGAGAACCGGATATGGAGCGGGCAGAGGAGAGGACCGGCAGCTTGGGAGAAGTCCCGGTACGCATAAACGGTCTGCGTACCGGGGTGTACCGGCCCACTTCAAGCACTGCTCAAAACACAAAAGACATAGGCCTAGCCTACCGGTTTATCTCCTTGAAACACAAACTTGTCCACTTTCCCATCGTTCATGAACTTGCCTTCCTTCTGCATATTTTGTGTGCAGCTTATGAAGTCAATAATTGCCATGGTATTTAAAGAAACAGCCTGACAGTTAAGGAAATTTTTTCTTGTTGGATCTCAGCTAATAATGAGCTAAAGTTTAAAAAGGAGAAACATACAGTGACTGTCCCTGTCACACTTTATCATTTCTGCCCCAAATTATTATCTAAAAAAGTCTTTAAGAGTTGTGAGGAAACCTCACTTGGTCAGAAAGTGCAGGATGCCTCCCTGCTAACAGCAGGTTGGGCTTTATGTTCATATAGACAACAGAGATTTTGTTGAATCTTCATTTGTCAGCTTTTAATTCACTGAGTTGGTCAAAGACAAACATTCACAGTTTGGTCTACAAACTGATTTTTCCAGAAAATGTACAATTTCAAATAAACTGACATAAACTGTGGTTTAAGATTTTATCCATATTGCCAAAAACACCACAGCTGCTGCAAAACAGCTGCTCTGAATCCCATCCTAAACAGCAGCATGCCTACCACTAAAACAGCAGAAATTACACTTAAAAAGTACAAAGTGCTAAAGACGTGTTGAGATGCTCTCCCTGTGTTAAACATCCAAACAACAGTCCAAATAAAGATTTAGGAAGAAGACAGCGAGGCGGCTAGAATGAGCTCAGTTCATCTAAAATAATATCTGCTTTGCTTCTGGGATGAAAGGAGAATAATGACAGACATCAACTTCCAGCTCCAAACTAATAAAACACATTTTATTTCCATGTGTTGAAGCCATCACAGTGAACCAGAGCAAGTTGACCAAAACATTTCCCAGCAGCCACTTCTCCCACAGCAGAGTCCAAACAGTGCTTCCTGTTCTCTACAGTTAGGTGTCTTATTGGAAATGGTCTCAGTAGATGACAGGATCTGTCTCGTCTCTATCCTTTCTATTGGCCTCCATTTCTCCTCCTGTTTCCTCCCCTTTCTCTCTCTCCCTCTTTCTCTGCCTACATGAAGCTGACTGTGGAAATGTTGTCATCATTCATACTGATGACCTGCTGATATCATTGCTGTCCATTCTGCACAACACACAGAGGCCAAAAGCTTGTCTATGAACCCTTTCCTCATGAACACATACAGGAACAAGTCTGCAAGAGGACTGAATCTAACAATTGTAAGATACAGAAGGTTGAGTCTGGAGTCTACCAATCGGTTATTGTCAGTGTATACTTTCAAGAACCAAATGATGGTGGGCAGGAACAGCAGAGTGTAAATAAGCAGCACCAGAACCAAAATTCCCACAATTCGTCGATTTTCATCAGAGGGGACCGAGATGGAAGCAGACAGGGCTTTGAGGGTCCCAACCAGGAAGAATATTAACAGTGGGAAGGGAAGGAGGAAGAGGATGGCGAAGATTATGTATGTGGCCAGATAATTACCGAAATCTAATACGATGGCACAGACAGGAGAAAGGACCCAGACCAGGACACAGAGCACCACAGAGGTCTTGATGGTTCGTCTGCAGCGGTACCACAGTGGGTGGGCGATGACCAAATACCTGTAATACAAGATGGACACAAAGTCTTTGAGGAGCTTCAGAGTTATAAACTAATATAATGTTCAGACAGAAGGAGCTCCACACATACTGGATAGACAGATAGATACCTTTCCAGGGCGACGCAGACCATGAAGCCAATACTGGCAAACAGAGCAGAGAAGTAAATATATATGAAGATGTAACGTATCCTCCTATCCTCAGGTTTTGCCACCTCAACGATCATGCAGCAGAGCTGAATCAGGTCGGTAATGAGAAGGTTGATGACGTAGATGGGAGCAACATGATCACTTCTCACCTGCAGGAAAACATTGGTAAAAGTCAACAAGCAGTTGGAAACATGTTGTGAAGTCCACCTCCTCCCAAATCTGTCATCTTGCTCTGCCCAAATAATAATAATAATACATTTTATTTACCGGCACCTTTCAGAACACTCAAGGTCACCTCACAAAACATCTTCAAACAGTCTAGAAATACATTTATAAAACTAACAGCAAAAACGAAGGTGGATAAGATGTTAGGATGGTTAGTTGCGTTGGTGTTAACCCCGTGTTAACTTAATTGGAGTTGGTGCATGTTCGCATAAAAGGGGCGTGTTTGGCCGTGCAGGCAGTTTTTTCGCAAAAAAGCCTTTGCAAGGCTGCAACATCACACACACATGTCTGCAGTGTATTATACATGCATTGGAAAGTTATATTAAACTTTGCAATCAGATTTAGCAGAGAGGAAAAACTCCTGAGTTTAGCCCACAATCACTATCATGCACCTCAGAGACTTTGCCTTGGATCGGGCGTATTCAGAAGAAACACCAGATTTCGATTTTTTGTGACCTTAATTTCAGGGGAATTTCCGATTTTTCTTCTTGTAAATTTCACACTTTGATCTTGGATTTGTTTTCTGTTTCCTGTCTGATTTCCTCTCTAAAATCCCAGCTCGGCTGCAGGGCTCGCTGTCTGAATGTAATGCTGTTGTGTTCAGAACTTCACCGCAGCCGCAGTGGAACAAATCAGGCTGAAATCTAAACATATTTAAGTGGTGTGTATTAATATCCTACTTCTCATCATTAACACTGAGTACAGATGTGGTGTTTAGTCCACGTGCAGGGTAACCTCGAGTTAACCACGAACAAAACCTGCTCGGAGCAGTTTAGAGATCCAGCGTAAATTGCCATGGCAACAGACCTCGGGTAACACCTATCCACCTTTTGTGGTACGGGTAAACCAGGAGGTTACACCCGACGTCATGAAGTTACTCCTGAAGTTACGGATAAGCCAGTTACCCTGCTTGGTAGTACAGGCCACTGATGAACAGTGATCATGATCATTTATATGCCAGTTTAAAAAGATGTGTTTTCAGGCGGGAAACATGTTTTTGTGTCAAACTATCATTATGAGAAATGACTATTCCAAAACCATTTTATTGGAGGAAAAATCTTAAGCAGTTTTATTAAGCTTGTTTCCAAAAGGCTAGATATAATAATACCTACAACAATGGCTGAACTTAATTTTTTGCCAGTTTTTTTGTAGACTCTTCTTAATATTTTAGCATACACTAAAATGTTTATTGCTGAGTTTTCCCAACTTAAAAAATGAAGAAGTTCGCTAAACTAACAAAAAGTGGTTGGAAAATGTTGCCTTTTTTTTAAGTTAACAGTTTTTACAGCGTATATACAACATACATTAGGAGATGCGCTGACAGTTTCACTTCTAACCTATGATCATGCCCTCGCCTTCTATCCCCAAACATTCCTTCCTCCGTCTTAAAAGGAGAGAACCTGAGTAACCTGTAGCAATAAGTAAATACCTTCACTGTCAAGTGTACTGCAGTACGTATAAACAATTAAAGCTGCAAGCAGCGTTGGGCGGGCCCTCGCACTTGTAAGCAATAATGAACCCAAACAATAAAATAAATTCCTTTTATATTTCCCTGCCTTGTTGTTTATGTGTACATACAGAGGAAGAATGTGAGAACAGCACACATTTCATCGTTACTGTGTGTTAGAGCATGGGAGAACAGTGGATACTTTTAATACAGCCCACACCCCTAATACTGTGTAACTATAACAAGTAGAGAACAGAAGAAAAAGATGTTCTTTCTTTACAACTGTCTGCATAGCTTATTCATATTGTGTAATGAATGAAAATAAATAGGCCTACTAGGCTCCTCTCTACTTTGACATTTAAGATTAGCTTGTTTGATCCACCTTCATACACATGTGACATTACTGTACAACTTGAGAAAGGTGAGTTGTTTTCTGCTCCAGCCTGCCTAAAAGAAAAGCGTTTTGGGATTAAATGGACTTTATTAGCTGCTGCAGTGCAGGATGAACTCAGAATAGACCCATTTCTCACCTTATTATTCTAAATCATGCAACGAAGAAGAAGAAATGCATAATAAATCCTGGGACAAAATCTGTCCACAAATACTGTACAGCATGTAGTCTAATGACAAGACTTGTGTTATAGCTGACTTGGGCAGTGAAATGTTTTTTTAATTCATGTGGTCATAGTTGTCCACAACTCAAATCAGAATATAAGAAGAAATGTTTTATACCACCTCAAGAAGGCTTCCTATCAGAAAGGTAGGAAGGTATTTCAAATGTACAACTGCAGTACTTAAATCTCAGTAATTTCCCGGACATTTTTGTGTTACTTTACTTTTAATAGACCTATGTAAGAGGTTTTATACTTCCTGTGAGTATAATCCAATCATCTTATTTTCATACTGTATATCCGATGTGTAATTTGATAAATTGTGTTGTATGTCGTGCTCGCATCTCAGAGAAGACTCAACATGCGTCTTTGTAAAGAGAGAAACGGACAGAAAAAGTCTCTAACTCTGCCTGTCAGCTCGCTCTGCTCCGTTAAAACTGAATTTCCATACAGAATTGAATACGAGTGCACTCCAGATTTAGCTGCAGCCAGCTGACCGTGTGCTTCTCCCTATACCGCAGTTCTGTGTCCATGCATGCAGCAAACTGAAAGCACTGTCTGTCGGAGCGTCTACGTGAAAAGAGACAAGTAAGAGACACGTAAAATTCAAAATGGCCGACTTCCTGTTGGTTTTAGGGCATCGCTCCAAGAGGCTTTTTTGTGCGTCTGGACAAGATACACGTACCACAGAAAATTCGTGCACGTAGGTGAAACGTGCGGCGGGGGCTGCTTCGTTAAAGGTCACTTTCTGTTGCCAGCAGGTGGCGCTATGACTGTGGGTGAATGTCGACATGTACATGTGTTCAGGGCGGGACTCTCATCCTACATGTACAGTTTGGTGCAGATGTGAGCATGTACACTGAAGTTACAACAACTTCCTGTGTCATGTCGAAGACTTGATCTTTGACGCCACGCCACGGACACACCCACTGACGAAAACTTGCAAATAGCACAACTTTTCATCTTCAATGCCTTTAGAAGGCACAGCAGAAATTTGACGTCCGACTAAAAAGTGTGTAAATCATCCAAAAATGGCCGTAAAATTGACGTAAATTGACTTTAGGCTATGGGTTCTTGAGGCTTTTTTGTGCGTCTTGATATGATACATGTCTCCAGCAAATTTCGGGCATGTAGGTGAACGAGGGGCTAATTTTTTCCAATTTTCTAGGTGGCGCTAGCAAGTCATTTTGCAACGCCCAACACACGGTCGTGCTCGGGCTCTAAATATATAATCTTAGCAAATTCAATAGGGACCTCACACGGTCGTGCTCGGGCCCTAAAAAACAAATATATATATAATCTTAGCAAATTACATAGGGACCTCACACGGTCGTGCTCGGGCCCTAAATATATATATAATCTTAGCAAATTCATAGGGACCTCACACGGTCGTGCTCGGGCCCTAAAATATATATATAATCTTAGCAAATTACATAGGGACCTCACACGGTCGTGCTCGGCCCTAATATATATATATAATCTTAGCAAATTAATAGGGACCTCACACGGTCGTGCTCGGGCCCTAAAATATATATATAATCTTAGCAAATTATAGGGACCTCGCACGGTGTGCTCGGGCCCTAAATATATATATATAATCTTAGCAAATTAGATAGGGACCTCACACGGTCGTGCTCGGGCCCTAAATATATATATAATCTTAGCAAATTAGATAGGGACCTCACACGGTCGTGCTCGGGCCCTAATAAAATAATCTTAGCAAATTCAATAGGGACCTCGCATGGTCGTGCTCGGGCCCTAAATATATATATAATCTTAGCAAATTCAATAGGGACCTCACACGGTCGTGCTCGGGCCCTAATAAAATAATCTTAGCAAATTCAATAGGGACCTCGCATGGTCGTGCTCGGGCCCTAATAACCAATAAAAGAGGTAACTAGAGTTCTGACATTGTCTCTATTACTGGTAACCATCTTTGATCAAACCTGTCTGACTTGAGCTGCAACCTCGCTGTGATTTTCTCCATGATGAACACACTTTTTACCCTTTCTCTCCATTCAGTTATACTGGGAGGCTGTGGCTTCAACCAAGAGGCTGTGATTGTTTTCTTTGCTATTAAAAGCAGAATTCTCAGTAAGGAAGTCAAGTTCCTATCTATAGCATTATCTGGGACTATACCCAATATGTACAATGCTGGATCTAAATTAAAGTCAATACCCAAAACATGTTCTATTTCCTTTTGAATATTCTTCCAATAGTCTAAAATCTTAGGGCAATCCCAAAATATATGTGTAAAGTCCCCTACCAATCCGCAACCCCTCCAACATCTCTCCGAAGTATTACTATACTTTGATGTAACAGATGGAGTGTGAAAATACCTCATTTTGATCTTCCAATCAAACTCCCTCCACGTCGGGCTGCTAGTTACCTTATGTCCTGCTTTGAATGTTTCTTCCCATTGTTCATCTGTTTTGATAATATTTGCTTCCAATTCCCATTTTTCCTTGACATCCAAATTGTTATTGTTAGATTCCAATTGTACCTTATACAGTTTTGATATAATCCCTTTCTTTGTTTCTCCCTCTGTATACGCCATTAACAATTCTTCTAGTTTCGACGGGGTGTTAGAGATCTTCTCCCACTCCTTATGTGTCTTAAGGTAATGTCTTAGTTGTAGAAACTTAGAAAAAATCATGGGCTGGTAAATTCAATTCTTGTGTTAACTGTTGAAATGACTTCA